AAGGAAGGAAGGAAGGAAGGAAGGAAGGAAGGGAGACAGATAGGGTTTGAGATACAAAAATATACAGAGAAGAGGAAGAAAAGAGATAAGAGAGAAGAAAAGAGAAGAAAAGAGAGAAGGAGGGAGAGAGAGAGAAGAAAAGAGAAGAAAAGAGAGAAGGATGGAGAAATGAGAGAAGAAAAGATAGGAGAGAGAAGAAAAGATAGGAGAGATAAGAAAAGAGAGGAGGTATAAAAATAGAAGAGAGAGAAGAAAAGATAGATAAATATACAGAAGTGATAGAAAAATGGCAAGATGAGATTGGAGAGAGAGGAGAGAGAGAGAGAGAAGAGAGAGATTAGTTGGTGCATTTTTATCAAGATAATGTAAGCTTATCACCAAATTAAAACCACATCATCATTTCTGAAGAACATCTCCTGATATTCAAGCTGTTCAAAGCACCAAAATAACTCATGATAATTATAAATACCAATTAGAACTGTCCAAAGTATTTTTTTTTCTTTTTCTTTTAATTTCTTTGGTAATGCATATGATTATAATCCCTCCCCTTCACTGACTTCTGGTAAGCAATCAAAAAAAAGAAAAATTAGTGCTTCAACTGACTTCTGGTAAGCAATAAAAAAAAAAAAAAATTTAGTGCTTCAACATCAGGATACTTCTACAGTAATAATGGTTCCAGTCTTATACCACACTACTTTTACGCTAACTTGGCAAAGAAATGCATATTTATCCTTCTACCAAAGCAGCCGATTGGCAATGATAAAATGCTTTTGTAGCTTTTCACTTTTCACGAACATTATGCATTTGTATTCTATAGTGATATTTGCAAAAAAAAAAGAGAGAGAGAGAGAGAGAGAAAGCAATGGTAACGTAACAAGAAACAATAAAAAAAAGATATTCCATAGCAGGCCAAGCTCGTGTAAGAGTAGTATAAGTCGTCTTAAAAAAAAAACTAACTTTTTCAGCGGGCTTCCCATCGATGTCTTCAATCTCAGTGGTTAAGATCTTAAAAATAAAAACAAAGTGAAAACTATGAGAGAGGGAGAGGAAAAAAAAAAAGGGTTAACCAAAAATAAAAGAAAATGCAAGCAGGTACCACTGCTTTAAAATACCATATGAATACTTAATAACACTTACAGACAATACTGACAACAGCAACCACAACCACCGTAAACATGCTTTATAAAACTACAGGACACCAAACTGTTATTGGAACAGCAAGCTTCAATAAATTACATATTTACTGATTAAACTGTCAGTCCTAAAGTGGGGATTCCCCCTTTTTTCATATTCTACTTTCTTTTTCTATCCTGATTGAGGATTCAGAGGGTATACTTGTATATTTACAGGTACATGATGTGACAAGTAATTGAAGTCTTTTGATATTTCATACCTGCTTGACTAAGCAAAAGTTCTTGTGCAAAAATGTTAAATTATTCAAAATAACCTGCTTTAAATTTTGGTAAGATATATACCATGGAAATATATTCCTAGGTCAGGATCCTTAACCCAATCGCCCCTTATGGCAAGAATACATGCCATGCCCAATGTAATTAGTTATTAGATAGTTATTAGTCCTATCTATCTCACCTTTCCCTCTACATTTGTAATGGGTCTTTTGCATTATTTCATTGTCTTAAATGTTATTGAGCTTTTAATAACAATTTAATAATCATAACATCAATAACAATAATAACAGTATCGATGTCCACTGTATTAATAAGAAAAACACATTTTCCCGCCAATTCAAGAAATGGGGAAATCAAGATCAGTCACTAGGGCTATTGACAGACTTCCTGCCAGGGCGAATGGGTTAAGACACACACAACTATAAATATACAGACCTAAAAATTCACACACAACTAGAATGTTCCTGTCTAATAATTGCACAAGATGTGTTAACATGATATACCACTATTCAGTTTATCCACAGTAGAAATCCCTAACCTTGAGCCTACGAGACAGATTGTGGACTACATATCATAGGCTCCTTATCAATATGTAGTAAATATAAAAATACAAGATTACTCATGGAAGTGGGAGTAGAAGAGAGTAAAAAAAGGAGAGCAGGGGACAGGAGAATGGGAGAAAGAGAAAGAGAAAGAGAACAAGAAAGAAAAAAAGTAAGAGAAAGAAAGAGAAAGGAAAAAAGTAAGAGAGAGAAAGAGAAAGAGAAAGAAAAAAAGTAAGAGAGAAAGAGATATAGAAATAGAAAGAAAACAAGTGAGAGAGAGAGAGAGAGAGAGAGAGAGAGAGAGAGAGAGAGAGAGAGAGAGAGAGAGAGAGAGAGAGAGAGAGAGAGAGAGAGAGAGAGAGAGAGAGAGAGAAAGTAAGAGAGAGAGAAAGTAAGAGAGAGAGAAAGTAAGAGAGAGAGAAAGAGAAAGAGAAAGAAAAAAGAGAGAAAAAGAAAAAAGAGAAAGAAAAAGAAAAAAGAGAAAGAAAGAGAATGAAAAAAAAGAAAGAAAGAAAAAGAAAAAAAGAGAAAGAGAAAGAGAAAGAAAAAAAGAGAAAGAGAAAAGAGAGAGAGAGAGAGAGAGAGAGAGAGAGAGAGAGAGAGAGAGAGAGAGAGAGAGAGAGAGAGAGAGAGAGAGAGAGAGAGAGAGAGAGAGAGAGAGAGAGAGAGAGAGAAATGTACCCACCCCCTTATCTATCCCCTGCAGTCTCCCTTCCTGACACCCACTTCCCCGAACGCCCTGATGGCCCAAGCCAATCCACCAAGTTAAAAGACACCCATGACCAAGTACACCACAGTCACACCACCATCCTCTTCTTTTTTTCATGCATCTCAGGTTATCAAGCAATTTTTTTTCTTCTTTTTCACTAAATAACCAGTGCTCTATCTGTCAGCAATTAGCCAATTACCCAGAGAAACACAAAAGCAAAAAATATATATTACCAGCCATCCTTAAGTTTCAGAGGGTAATCTTGTACCCGAGAAATGGCCAAAGTAATAATTATCTGTTGAAACTATTAGCTAACATTCATAATCAACTTTCAAATCAAATTTCAGTTTTAAATTCACTCCCTAAAGACACTCTTTCATTATAGCCTAGCTGATCCTGAAGCTGAAACCTGATGTTCTGATGAATTACACTAAACAAGTTAGAAAAAAGACATAACCGCCTTCTATATTCCATGTCTCTCTAGATAATTCCCAAATAATTCAAATAATCGACTGAATTCTAATTTTAAATTTTGAATAAAAGAAGGCATTGTCATTTGAAATATCAAAGACTGTCTTTCAAAGTGTAAAAACTTGCTTATATACATTCACTTATAGATAAAAACACTTAACTTGACACTGAACCATTATGTGCAAGTGGCTAACCACAATCATGCACTCATCACAACAATAATGGGATATGCAAAAATAATAGATCATCACAATCTGAGGAAAACAATCAAGCAGTCAGTTCAAACTAGATATAGGTTATGAAAAGGAAATCATTCTTGGTATTATCATAAGGTCTTTATCATTCTAAATACACATACAGTATTGGAAACCTAACTATGAAAGACTATTTACCTATAGGGAAATACTTAGTGAATACTAACTGCCTTCAGAATAGTTTCTCTTGACAGGATTCTGATTTGAACTTACGAATACCTTGAAGCTAGGATACCATACCTTCGGCTGCTGCTTGTTGGCATCAGCTTGCTGTAGTTGAGATGGAGGAGCAAGAGGAGCAGGTACAGGACCCTGAGCGACACCAGCCCGTTGTGCACTGGAGAGCATCTCTTGTGGTATAGCAGATGGCATGGGATTGTTTTCTAGTACCTTGTATACTAAATGCATTGCCTGTGAAGAGAGCAGAGACAGACTGTTCATACAGATGATAACGACAAAGACAAAAAACAAAAAATAAATCAAAATAAAAAAATCCTATTCTTTTTTACCCAATATGCACAGGCTTTTTTAGTGGACATGCAATCCATCAAATGGCTATATCTGTAGGGTAGGGATGCCATCCGCGGCATCAGCGCTATGACACCATCGCATCATAGTAGATGCCACCCGTGAACAAGGGGTTAATGACATAAATTTTCATGTTAAACTCCAGCATCATAAAACACTGTCCAACATACTTTGTTTCTAAATCTCATGATACAAAATTAAATCGATTTTCCCATTTTATGAAAAACACAAGAAACATCATGCAGAACTGCATTTCTATTGCTAAATTTCTAATGTAAAAAAAGAAAAAAAAACAAAAAAACAATACATGACATAGAAGCAGTAGCATATACTTACAATAGAGAACTCTACACGATCTAGTGAGCCATCCTTGTCCATGTCCGACAGGTCCCAAATCTTGCCAAGTGTTTCCATAGGAAGCTTGGAGTTGAGCATAACACCTCTAACCTATAAATGAAGTGCATGGTTGAAATATTTGGCCAATGTAATGTTTTGAGTCTCCCCCCCCTTTCAATCAATTTTTTTGCATATATCACTTTCATTCTGCCATTTTCCATTTCCATTCCCTTCTCATTTTCCTTTCTTCCCCTCTCATTTTTTTCTTTTCCTTATACATTCACAAGGAAGCAACAACTACTTGTATGCAAAAAATAAATTTGCTTTCTCTCCTCACATCTTTCTACCTTTCCCTTTCCCTTTCTCCTTCCCCTTCGCCATTCCAACAAAACAACTCACCTTATTGCCATGAAGCTTATTGGCTTCTGGTCCCAAGGAATTAAATATTTGGTCGTAGCGCATTCTATCTGTCGGGGTTATGGTCCAGACTCCAGGGGCAGCCGCAGGAGTGTGGTGTGGGGGGGCTGGTTTGACTGGGGGTGGTGGATGTGGGGGAGGTTCACCCTGCGAGAGAGCAAAGGTAAAGAACATGAAAATGTAAGATTCAACCTTTTTTTTTTTTGTGAGCTTTAGTTTGTGTTAAAATAAAAAATGTGCATTCCTTTTTATTCATATAATTCATAAAGATATGTATATTTTCACTACATTATCCAATATTTTTTTTTTCTTCATAAATATCAATGAAAAC